TTTGTGACAATTGGTCCACAAGTGTGCTATCCTATGACTGTGCCCGTACACCCTGAGCTCTTCTGTTCTCACCCTTCTCATTCACTTCTCAGGAGGCTGGAAGGTCCTGGAGGTACCTTCCTGGTCTTGGGAGTCTGGATTAGACTGAGAGATCCAGGGATCCTTGGTCCCCATTCACAGAACTTCTCTTCTGAAACTTGTTTTCTCTGTTGTAATCATGATAGCACAATCTCCAAATACAGCACAAGGGAAGAATTATACCACTCAAACAGTTAGATGTCCCTTATGATGAGCTTGTGTTCTCTAAATATTAAATCATGAATTCTAGGACCAATAGAGGTTAAGAGTACAAATATATTTGTGGAGAGGACAGAGATCCTGTCAGGAACAGGATGAGTCCCAAGTGGAATATGTAGCCTGGGGACTCCACTTTTAAGAAGATTTTATAGAGCAATATCCACATACTTATGACATATGTGAAAGCTATGATTAACCAGTAAGGATACACGTGTAGTCATGTAGGTCACAGTGATTTAATGGGAAATCAGGACCTCTCACTAGGATGCAGGGAAAGAACAAAGACGTATCCTAGGAAATGATGGGTCTAGACTTGTCAGCAAATTGGGTTATTGATGTTTACTTAGGATGCATTAAGCCTGGTGTCTGTCCAGGCAGTATATAAGCCTGCTGATCTCATCTTTATCTGAGGCCTGGGATCCAACAGATTCAAGCCTGGGCGCAACTTGGCCACAGCTGAGATGTGTTTCATCTTGGTCATGGCACTCTCAGCAGCCTTGCCCTACCTAACTGCCTCTACTATCTCTGTGCTGTTTAGATGTCTAAATAGTAACAAAATAGAAACTGGACACAGAATGTAGTATGTCTCACCCTGATAAGTCAGTGCATTCAGAGGTCAGTCCTCTCTGGGTTCCAAGTACATTGCATTTCCCAGGATTAGTTCTGTGTTCTCAGGACAAAGTGCTTCAGACAAGTAGATTCCATGATCTCAAAAATTTACACTGGCATGGAGGCTCAGTCCTTTTTATAAGAAATCTACTCATCTATCAAAAAAATGCCTGGTCTAGTTCTAGCTTTTAGCTGGTACTCCAGACTGGTGACCACTGGCAAGTATGTATTTACTCCACTGCCAGGAACTGTCCTAATATTAAGAAGTATTTCACAGTGCATGAGTGTGGGTGTGTAGAAAATTCAAAAAGTACTCACAGATCAGACTTAGTTCTCCCAGTGAGAAGAACCAGAGTGGCTGTTTTCAAAGTTTTGAAAAACAGCAACTTACTGTGACCTCTGCAGATATTTATTTGTAACTAAAGAACATAATAACAAAGATAGAGATGAAAAGCAACCTGCCAAATATATTTTAGCAAGTTTTGTTAAGGGAAAGGGCCAGCAAATATGACATGTTACATAACATATACGAACCATTTTTAAGTAAATTCATGAGGTAGGAATTTTTTTTTAATCAGGGAGGAATCTTATTGGAGGGAAGGAAGGCTACAATGACCAGAGCACACATCTTCTGAGAATAACCCAATGGTGATTCTCCTCAATGTTTTCATGCAGATTCATTCTAATTTGTCGCCATGCATTCCACAAGCCTAGCAACTGTGGCACCCACAGTCCTTTCATTACCTTTCACATCAACTTTCCCTCTGGTCAGAGTTTCCTGCACAAGTAAGCTAAAGATGATCTTCATTCTATTCACTATTTGTCACTGAGTATAGTAAGTACAAAGCCGGTGGCTGCTCATACTGCCAGCTATCACTCAAACTAGTGAAACCACATGGCCCCGCGCCATTCTGAAGCCCATTTTTGTCCATAGAATGAAAACATATACTTTGTAGCTTGCTTCTCCGTGCAGTCATAATTACCTACCCCAAGCCATTATTTAGACCTCCATGTGCAGAGAGAAGTGACAAGGACACCTAAGTGTCTACAATTATCTCTGTGAATGTCAATTATGCCCTCCATGTCCCTGCTCTGACCCCAGGCTGTGCTGATCCTTGACTAGCCTATGAAACCTCAGGCAAGTTAACTCTCTGGGTTTCTCTGTTTTTCTTGTACAATCTCAGATGCAGGAGACACCTCTACTTAAAGGGCATGAGCCTCAGATCCATCATGATCTTACTTCTTCCAGGTCAACCTGAGGATAACTTTTATATTTTTCCTCCCTGATTCTTTAATTGGGATGGTATTGGAAGAATATCAGTTATTTTTTTACCTAGATCTTAAAAACTCAAAACCAATTACATCAATGGAACTCTTAGCATATAAATATGTTCATGGTTCAATGACAATGAGAGAGCATGAGGCTTCCTTAGGGCAGGACTGGCCACAGCAACAAGAAGGAAGGCTTCACCTGCAAAATTCACACACATGCAGTTAATACAAGGAGACTAAAAGGGAGACTTAGAGCTATGTTTTTGGTTAAAGATGTTGAAAGTATGCACGTAATCCCAGGCACGATGTAGAAGCAAACTCACACGGCAGGTAATAATGACACACCTGGTAACATAAGCCCTGAAAAGGAAAACTTGTGTTTACCTGACTGAAGGACATGATTGACCATGAAAAACTATAATCTAAATGCCAAACACCATGAATGATTCTTACTGTTTCAAGAATACTTTGAATTAACATCACAAAAATCAATCTGCTCAATTTAGGACTCTCAGGGTCAGAGGTACTTGAGAAACTGACATGCACAGCCAGCAGGGGGCGCTGTTGCACTGACCAATGAAGACAGCTGTGACACAGGCTACATAGGAAAGGCCTTTTTGGCTGTCACACACTTAGGCAAGGAATGTCGCCATTACAGTGTGACTTTCCTGCACCTGCACCTCCCAAGGTAACAGGACAACTTGTCTCTAATGCACACTCTTACTTTCTATTTTATTTCCCACCCTGTGTAGTTGTCCACTCCTGAGGTCAGGCAGAGATAGATGGATAATGGCATCCCCCACTCCAGTTTCTTGGAAGAAACACGACCTAGAATGTTCCCTGAGAATACAATAAGAAGCATTTGGAGATGGGAGGGGCGCAACAACAGAAAGTTTCTTTTCTTTTTCTTTTTGCATTTTTTACGGAAGGGTTTACAGGGTGTTCAGGGTCTCACTACTTGACCAGACTCCTAGTGATCCGCCACTATATAGCCTTCCAAGAGCTGGGATTACTGGTGTGCACCACCACGCGCAGTCTCAACTGCCATCTCAGTGCGCCCCAGAAGTGGGGCCGTCACTGCAGGCCAAGGCGTGAAATCCCCGGCGCCTACACGTGCTTGCAGTTGCTTTCATCTGCTGAGCTATTTGGCCAGCCTCAGAAAGTTTCTTATTCCAAAGCTCTGGACACCTTTTCACCACCAGCACGATGGCTCTTCACTACCTCATCCTCTCCTTAGATGATGAGTTATCTAGGGAACACCAAAGAGGATCCTGGGGCACGCCTGCCACAAGCATGCAGATGGTTAAGCAGTTGCTTAATCTGCTATCTATCTCTACCACCTTCTGAATCTCCTGCAGTAATCCTGGGTCACATGGTACTGAGTGTCACTTACAGAGTGTTGATCAGTAATGAATCTTCTCGAGACAAGTACCCAAAGTGCAACCCCAACCCCATTTACTTGTTGCAATGTGTCAGCACTACAATTAACCCTGTATATTTAGTTTTAAAAAACACTCATTTATGACCCTGTTTTGCCTCAAATGAAAAAATACAACAACAGCAAGTTATAGGTTTGCCAGCACTGGTCTTGTTATTTGTAAAAAATATTACATATTTTTGTTTTTCAGCAGTTATATCAACCAATTCAATAAGAGGCTCAGTATTCCAAAAATAATAATAGCACATTTGAGCATTAGATGAGAAAGTGATATATATAAAAGACAAAAATGTCAAAATACTACCAAGTAGCACCTGTAATACACTCATACAATTCTCCAGGACCACAAAGGATGATAGAGTTAGACTTTTAATATTATCTGGGGGACCTGCCACTTAGCTCAGACCTTTTAGTGACTGCTTCAACAAAGCAGTCAGGCTCTGGTTCCTGTGGTTTGATCCTCACAACTCAAGCCAGCCAAATCTGCCCTGAAAGCATTCTGAGCCAGCCTCCCCAAAAAACAAAAATCCTTCTGCCATTTTTGGGGGTTGGGGACATGGCTCAGTAGAATAAGTCCTTCCCTGGCAAGCGCAAGGGCTTGAGTTCAATCCCCAGTTCCGCAAAAAAAAAAAAAAAAAATTATATATATATATACACTATCTGGAAAAAATATATATATATACACTATCTGGAGGATTGTAAATGGGAAGTTGGGAAAGAGTAGAACTGACAGGACAGGAGCTATGCAGCACATGTCCAGTTAAAGCAAACAGCTTCTGAGAACTCAGCACTATGCATCTGCTAAACTATGAAAGGAAATCAGTGCTAATAAAAGGACTTGTAGTGTGTACTGGGAGCAGCAGCAGCAGCCTGATCCTTCATGAATTTAAAAGGAAGATTCTAATTGTATTAAAAGCCATCTTCCCACAGGTACTAAGAGGGCTCCTCTTGTTTCTTTTGCTGTGTGACAGGCTCCTGGTGTCCTGGGCCCCTCCTCAGTATCCAGTTTGTCCAAGTGCACACTCACCATTGACACCTAATTTCTGTCCCTGAGAGGCTATAGTCACTAAGTCACAGCTTGGTGTACTATGGGCAGGAAACTGTGTGGTGCTGACAGCCTATGAATGAGTGCTCTACGTGTGGTCAGATTGGAAAGCACCGTGCACACACACACATCTTCAGCTGACATCTTACAGCTTGAACGCTCCATCCCCAAAGCCAATCCAGCCCCACCTTGACCCAGTCAATGAGCTCTCTCTGGCCTAGAGGACTGAGCCAGAACCCAGGGTGAGCTCAGAAGCCTGATAGGAACCCCATTTGCATGGGTGGAGCCTCCTCTTCTCACATATGAAGAGGGCAAGCCTGGGACTTGAGGGAAGCTCTGCTCTACTGTGGGCTCAGAAGGTAGGACCCACGGATGACCTCCACCATGGCCTGGTGCCCTCTCCTCTTCAGCCTCCTGGCTCACTGCACAGGTGATGAGATAGCAGGCAGAGACAGAGCTTAGTCCATGGGGTGTGGGGACCGGCCTTCTCCTTTGGTCTTAGAACTAGATCCACGTCTCTGTGTCTCCCACTTGCAGGTTCCTGGGCACAGGCCATGCTGACTCAGCCTCCCTCAGTGTCTGGGTCTCCAGGAGGATCAGTCACCATCTCCTGCACTGGAAGCAGCACCAATATTGGGAGTGGCTATGATGTCCACTGGTACCAGCAGCTCTCAGGAACAGCTCCCAAACTCATCATCTATGATAATAGCAATCGACCCTCCGGGGTCTCTGATCGGTTCTCTGGCTCCAAATCTGGCAGCTCAGGCTCCCTGACCATCAGTGGGCTCCAATCTGAGGACGAGGCTGATTATTTCTGTCAGTCTTATGATAGCAGCCTCAGTGCTCGCACAGTGCTCCAGCCGCATGGGGAAGCTAAGACAAAACTTCCTCTTCTGCCAGAAGGGTGCATATGCGTGTCTCAGTTACTCTCCTCTCATTGCTGGGACAAACACCTGACACTCAAAATGAGAGAAGGAAATGTTTATTTAGCTCATGGTTTGTGGAGATTCAAGGCCATACCAAGCTGGCACCAAGGCAGAGCGGCACATGGCAGAGGGCAGCAGTTCATGGTGGTGGAATACAGCAAAATGGCAGGAGCAAATGGGAGGAGCAGCAGCAAAAGTGGCTCCAGGGAGCACATCTGTCTCCTTAAGTTACATTGAGGCTGTCTGCCCCAACAGCAGTTATACCCATAAACCCAGCAGCACTCACACACCCATAACCCCAATTGATTTTGAGTTAATCACACCTCTAGAAGTCTGTCATATAACTGCATGAGGCTTTGGGGGAACAAATACACACAAGCTATAACAACCCAGGACCTGTGGCTCACGCCTGCAGTTTCCTTTTTTGCTGCCACTGTATTCTCAGGTGTATCCAAAGACAACACTTGGACTGAGTTTCCTGCTCACTTGTGCCCTCTGAGTCACTCAGTGGTAGCTTTTGCCAGAGAAAAGCCCTTCATAAATTTCCTAGATCCTTCCCTTCTTTAGGAAAAAAAAAATGAAGAGAATCCTGTGATTTCTATGTCTCAAACCTCAGGGGGTGGGTTGTCGAGTCCAACTCTGCTCATCTCATACTTGACTTCTGAAAGGGAATCCTGTACCTCATCACCTGTCTTTTTTTCCTCTATTTTCAAGAGTTCCAGACCTGTCATCTTCTTCTGGGATAGCATACCAAAGCATCATGTCACAGACTATTTCCACAAACAATTTTTTATTTTAAATATAGGATGTATATAAAAAATAACCTCGGGGGGGGGCAGCCAAATAGCTCAGTGGATTAAAGCATCTGCTTAGGCAGAGGCAGGGGCTGGGAGTTTGATCCCCAGGCCTATCATGCCAGCCCCTTCCCTGGGGCATGCTGAGATGGTGACTGAGACTGGGCATGTTGGCGTGCACCTGTAGTCCCAGCACTTGGGAAGCTGTAAACAGGAGGAATACTATGAGTCTGATCTATGCAGTGAGATGCTGTAGAACCTGTAGACAGTGTCCTGATATAAGAAAAATAATATAATCATAAAAAGTAAACTTAATTGCAGTAAAAACTTCAACGAATTTTGAGATGTTATTGTCCTCTGGGTACATCAGATCAGGCAATCCGACAACCACCCCACCAGATTCCTTGTGTCCTTCACAGTAGTCCACCTGCTCTCTCAAGATCATCAGAGGAAACAACTAACCCTCTCTCTGTGAATATTAATGTGTTTTCATTCCCGAAGGTTCTGAAGGGTATCACATGCTGTATATTTCCTCTTGTATGGCTTCCTTCAATCTACATGTCCACCTGCAATCCATCCATGTTGTGGAATTGAAATGGATCCCACAGAGGATACATGGTGAGCTGTGCCATCTCTGAACACTCCTGGCCACAGGGAGCATTCTCCAAACTACATGAGCACTAAAACAGTATTTTATAATTCCAGTCAATAAAGGTATATAATTGACCCTGGATTATATTCGTGTTACCTATTTTGTTCAATATTTACTTCCTGCATGGTTGTAGTGGGGAGCTGGTCATGTACACAAGAAGTCTCAGTACTTTTTCATCCCCTTGTTCTCCTTCCCTCTTCCTCCCCTCCATCTCTTGGCAGCCTTCACATTTGCAAAAATCTGTCTCCCAGCATTGTATTTTCTATATTTATTTTATTCTTTACTTCTACTTTAGATCTCTGATAGGAGAACCATGTGATATTTAAGCGCATGTGTCTGATTCATTTCACTTAACACTAAAGTCCCCCAAAAAATCATTTTCCTACACACGACTCAAGGTTTTCCTTCTCTATGACAGAATATTAACTCATTTTGTTCAAGTCCCACATTTGATCCATCCACTCATAAGTTGATAGGCACCTAGGCTTCTGGGCATTCACACGCAGAAGATTGGACCTAGACCCTTATAATTCACAACGTATGGGGGCACTATGCTGCAAATGATTCAGTCCTGAGAAAAACATCTTGTCTGAGGCAATTCTTAACTCAGTGGTAAGCAACGCTGTGACTCCTGATGCTAACTCTGTCAAAATATAAGTACCCGTCCCTACAGGCATAGTTCCGTTCCTCTCTCGTGTCCTTAAAGAGGTCCATTCGCCTGACCTCAGCTTTTGTCTTCATTTTCCTCATCTCATTAGAATTTTCACTAGGATTATTGAAAATCACAAGAGTCCCAACAACACTGTGCTAAACCCAAGTCAAAACAGACTAAAGATCTAAATGTCAAGACAGAAACAATCTGTTGAATGAGGAAGCAGGTGAAACTCTTGGAGACATAGGCATAGATAGGCAATGAATTTTTGAACAGAATATCATTTGCATATCTACAAAATGTAAGATTCAGCAAACAGGATACTATAAACAAGCTTCTGCACACCAAGGAAAATAACCAACAGCATGAAGAGAAAACCTACAGTATGAGAAAAATCTTATGCCAGTGATTCATGGTACTTCTGAAAGTAGATAATAAACAGTCAGATGATCTATAGAGAAGTTCCTCAGTCTAAACCTTTTGAGGATTATAGTCACACTTGTCTTTGATAAGTGCTCACACCATTTTGATTCTGTATTATTATCTACTGACTATTTATTTATTTATTGTATTTTAGGGAAGGGTCTGCAGGGTGTTCAGGGTCTCATTACTAGCTCAGACTCACAGTGATCTGCCTGTTTACAGCCTCCAAAGAGCCAGGATTACAGGTGTGCAGCACACGCCCAGGCTTAATTGCATTCTCAGAGTGCCCTGGGGGTGAGGTCAGCCTGGCAGGCCCAGGGATTGAACCCTCGGGCCCTGCCCCTCCTTGTAGGTGCTTTAGTCTGCTGAGCTATTTGGCCAGCCCTTAATTACCTTTATTGAAGTCTGAAAATTGAATCATTTTTCTTTGTGATGAAAGGTAATATCTTAGTTGATTTAGAGTTGCTACATCGACACAATAGGCCAATTATGAACAGTATAAATTAATGTGCAACTGGAAGGCCAAGAATATAGCACTGACCTCAAGAGAGGGCCTTTCTGCTGCCTCAAAATAGTTGAGATGGGAAAACAAAGACCGAGAGTGGAATCCAGGACAAGATCATTCTTCATATTAAAAGCCCACACCTACTTAAAGAACCAGCTTTTAGAATAAACAGGAGGTTACTGTGGTGATACTTACCAATGATTTCTTTTTCTACTTATTCATGTTTGCAGTAGTTGAAAGTAAAAGTCATCTTTTTATTTTAGCATTTCATTTGTTTGTTTGTTTTTCGAGTCAGGGGTTCTCTATGTACTCCAGGCTGGTCTTGAACTCACTATGATTAGCCCAGGCTTCCCTCAAACTCAGAGGGTCCTCCTGCATGATCGTTCCAAGAGCTGGAATTACAGGTGTTGCCAGCAGGCAGCGTATTATTCATCTTAGGCAGTGTGTGCATGTACAGAACACAGCTTGAATCTTTTAAATTACTTTCCATTTTCTACCCAACTCACTCCCTTCTCTATCTCCTTTCCCTATTTTCATTTTTAATGCTATTATTTCTACTTCATATTGATGACATAATTCTTAAATTCACTGTGAGCACATGTGAGTGATGCAGCTAAGAATTTTTATATTATCTTCCTTCTCCGTTGCTTCAGGTTATTCCCCTGGACCACTAACCATTTGTACAAGATCCCTACATTTTGATCTGTCAATCTTTTATTTTCCTCTTTTCTTGTACATTGTCTTGTTCAAATAAGAGCTATCATATAGTATTTAAGCTTGGAGGTCTTATTTATTTCACTCAACATTTTGCTTTCCAGGAATATCGATTTTCTTCAAATGTCTCAAAATGATCCCTCTCTAAAGCTGAGTACTATTACATCATGCATAGATGTGCATTTTCTTTATCCACTCATCAGTTGGATATGGGGAAGCAGACTGCTTCTAGGATTTAGCTATCAAGAATAATGCTGCTATAAACAATGGTGTACATCTATTGCTATAATGTGATAACCTTAGCTCTTTTAAGAAAATATCTAGCAGGGGAATAGGTTCAAGTAGAAATCCTAATTTTATTTCTTTAACAAGTCTCCATCCTGTCTTTCATATGGTTGTTCTAGTTCACATTTCAATCAGCAAAGTATAGAGGCTCTTTCTGCCCCAAAGCCACACAAGCTTTCTCATTCTTTGATGTCTTTGGCATTCTCATTCTTTCTGGTGTAAGATGAAACCTTAACATTTTTTAATTTCCATTTCTCTAATGACAAGTAGTGTTGAACATTTTCACAGGTCTGTCAGCCCCTCATACTTATTTTACTGAGAAGTGTCTATTCATTTCATTTGGCCCATTCTCAAGTCTGAGGACCAGCTGAGAGAAAAGTAAGGGATCAAATTTGTATTATGCACTACAGTAATACACCTTTGTACGCATGGAGCTCAGTACGAAAAAAAGAAATTAGAAAATCCAGCCTCAGCACTAACAATGGGGATCCTTCACATGTCCATAGCTCAGCAAGGACTTTTTTCCTTATCTTACTTCTCATTCTGCTTTCAATTAACAGAGATTTCTGTTACCACCATCTGGAATGGCCCTTCTCTTCTCCTCTCATTCTAAACATTGACAGTGTGCTCAGTTCTTGAGCTCCATACTTGGGAACACATTTGCCCTTACCTGCTCAGAGCACCATCCTGAGGAAGAGGCTTATCACCACGGCTGGCTGGTGACAGAGGTGGATGAACAGTGCAGAGTTAACTGAGGACCCACAACATGAAGCAGCCCTTGGTGAGCCCTGATACTGTGAATGATTCCTTAATGGATTTCCAAGTGATCTTTTTCTTCTGGCCTCTAGATATGCCAAATGATATAAAGATGAGGGGAAAAGTACACTGATGTTTCCTAACCCACTTTGGGTTCTGAAAGAGAGGAAAGAGCAGTGTCTGATTTGGACAGTTAGTGTGTGTGTGTGTGTGTGTGTGTGTGTGTGTGTGTGTGTGTGTGTGTTTAAGAAAACAAAATGGGGAATAGGGGATGTAGCTCAGTGGCTTAACTGCCTGCCAGGCAAGAGCAAAGCCCTAATTTCAATCCATTGAAGTGGAAAAAAAAAAAAAAAAAAAGAGGAAGGAAAAGAAAAGACTTCTCAAACCCTGATAAGAAATGTGGCACTGACATCTCCAGTTGCTTCTCTAGGTCAAAAGACACCTCAGGCAATGCAGGAGTTTTGCATATTCCTGGGATGCAGCCTGGGGATGAAGCCTCCTACTACTGTATGATCTGGCACAACAGTGCTGCCCCCAGTGTCAGCCTCAGATGGAGAAGTGGCATAAAAACCCAGCCTGCCTGGAAATTAGACTATGACAACTCCTGAAATGAAAAACTAAGTTCTATCTGCACTAGGTATATTTGAATTTAACTACAGTGGAACACCACTGTCTAACCCAAATTTGAAAATAATATTGTTCCAATCTCAGGAAAAAATACAGTACTACACTAAGGTAGAGTAATTTTAAAATTATATAAAAGGACATGGTGCTACTGTTTTCATTTACAAAAATGAGATTGGGCTTTCTTTTCTCCATTGGTCAGAGTCCAGGGGCCATCCCAGCAGCACGGTGGTCTTGGAAACAAGGACTCTGCACTTGCACATGTCACACCAGAGACCTCGCCTCCCTTACAGCCAACACAGTCCAGTGCTGCCCATGGCTCACTGTGCCCACCCCAACATCTGAGCTGCTGAGGGAGAACACAGGCTCAGAAAGAAGCTCAGGGACATGGCTGGTCTGCCGACCTTGTAATCACCTGAAGCCCAGCTGCAAAATGAAGAAGACCACCGGATGCAGGTGTATGTGAGGAACCTTGGGCCAGCAAAGCACATGGCACAATGAAGAGAGAAGAGTGAAATCTGCAAAGACTTGCAATGCTTGAAGCCAGTGCTGGCAGTGGAGCCCAATTGAGATAAGATAGAATATACACAGATGGATAGAAGAAAGACAATGAAAATCCTAACTGAAAGATTAGTACAATGTAGAAGACTATAACTCCAATATCCAGGCAAGTTGCCCATAGCATTCCATATCAGGAATCCATTGTTTTGTTTATGTTTTTCTTCTGGTCTGTCATACCCACAATTTCTTAAAGATAGTTTTTCTAAAAAAATTGATTCATTGATAAGGAAATGAAATCTCATTTTAATGGAATACTTTAAGAGAGTTCCAAAACATTTTAGACAATATATGGCAAAAACTGTGTCAAGGCTCATTTTTCAGCTCTAAAATTGGACATTATCTCATGACTGTATCATCCTGCCTCCCATGAACAAACACCAAGATAAACCTAAGAAAGGATTCACAAATTCCTTAGAATCAAATAGAGAAACACACACACACACACACACACACACACACACACACACTCACGCACACACACAGTTGCCCTTTGCCTTTGCCCCTGCATGGATAGAAAAACAGACTCATCTATACATAGGCTATTATTCAATACATAGGTACAGGTGACACTCTGGAGCCCAGAAAAGTGCACTCTGCTCATGAGGTGATGAGTAGTAATGGTGTCATAGCTATACAGGAAATGACCTGTGATGACCTCCCAGCTTTCTACTCTGGCGTACAGCCATACATGTGTATTCAGTGCTGAAAGATGCTGTAAAGACACAATGATGCAAGCAGGTGGTGGCCAGAGCAGATCTTTGGACTGATAGAACCTGTGTCAAATTCTCTTCTGTTGTCCTGACCCTCTGTTTATAAGAAGCCTCCTAAACATGCACCAAGAGAGCTACTACACAGAAAAGTAATTTCTAATTCTCCACATATTTAAGAGTATGGACTTTTTTATTATATCCTGTCAGTCTAGGTCCACAGCAAATATCTACATGATGGAACATTTTCCATAAGCTCTTGTCCTACCAGGATGATTGTTTGGTCATATGAGGTTATTACAAATTATCCAGTGGGGATTTAACTTCTTTGTTGGAAAAGCATTCACAGGGCACTTGTACAATAACAACTAACATCAGCTACTCACGCATCTTGGAGCTCCATAAGCATTGATGAGTTCCAACAAGAACTGTATATTTCTCTGGAGAAATAAGACTGTGATCTTCCCCATGTCATCCACGCTCACATAGGACACTCCTGGACTCCACCCACCTTAAACCACTTCCAGGCATCTTGGTCTCAGAGTGTGGAAAATAATAAAAGGAATCGTTTCCCACACAGAAGAGCACTCTCCCATACTCCAGTCTTTGAAGATCTACTGGGAGCATGCACTGTCCTCCACAGACACATGTATTGAATACTTTGGCCAAAGCAAAATCAAGTAAGGGCTGGGAGTAAAAAGACAGACTAAGGACACTGCATGGCCCAGATACAAAGGAACCAGCACCTGAACAGAGGATGTGGGGAGAGGTCATGGAAGAGAGAAACCTGTGGGCTGAGGACAGGGCAAGGACATGATCAGGGTGAACATACCTAACAGGAATCAGTCTACTGCAGCTTCACGGGGTGAATGTGGCCATCATTATGCCATCTACAAGGCATCATGTCTCTGTGATTTCTCATGGTGTATTTCTTCCCCTAGGAAATGAACAGTTTAGGAATAGAAACATTTTGTTTGTTATGGTTTTGTTGTTGTCAGTTTTCTGTTGTTCAAAGCTATGTATTCAGTCCCCACATCCAAAATGAGGGAATGGGGACCAGGGAGATGGCTCCATGGAATAAGTGCTTCCCTGGCAAGCACAAGGGCCTGAATTCAATCCCCAGTTCTGCAAAAAACAAAAAAAACAACAGAATGAGAGAAGGGACAACTTGCACACAGACTTGTAAAATAAATGTGTGAGCTATATGCATAGGAATCCTGGGAAGCACAGAGATCTAAAACAAAGATCATCCTTGCTGCTCCATTTTGAGCTGAGGGTGCTGAGTTGATTGAAAAAGAGAAGCTAAGAAACAGGACCATAGGTAAACAGGACAGAGAGGCTCATGGGCTTGGTCTCTGGGTATGGTGACCAGTACGTTGGACAGATCACCTGAGTTCATGTGCAGAATTTGGAGAAAGATGGAGTGAGTTTCCAGGTACTAAGAAAATACTGTGGAATGTGAGAGTTGACAGAGCAATTGCCAGACACAGAAGCTAGGCTCCAGGACTGAATGTTCTGTGGAGCAGGCTGAGTTGTGCAAACAACAGGGGACATTAACTAAGAGTGAGTAAATTATTCATCAACAAGTAGTGAAATCAGAGCTCAAAATCTATATGACCGGATTTACTCTGATAGAGACTCCTTTGACACACATTCACACCAAACTTTCTAGAGAAATTTTGTGAAAAAAAAAAACACATGAGGTTGGTGAGCCTTGTATCCATTCATAAGACATTGCTTACTGAATGAAGTTGCATACGGGGGTAATTATTGTGAGATTCTGTGCACACGTGTGGAACTGACATGCACCTGACATAATACTTATAAATTCTTAATTCTATAGTTTTGCCTTCACATCATGAAGTACTATTGCAGGGAACTAAGCCCAAATGTGCAAGATCAAACACAAATAAATATACATCAAAGACACATTCATTTTATTATCTAACTGAAAATAGATGAAGCATTAAAGTAATTTTATCAGAGATTCAGTTATCAATAAAGGAATATGATTATTATAGCATTATTTTCTAGTATGTAAAATATACTTGAACCAGACTCCTAGGAATGAGAATATACAGCCTTCATAGAGTGTATTAGTTTGAAGTTTTTGAACCTAGTGAACACTATTAAGAACTTCCTGGTTGGGGCTGGTGAGATGGCTCAGTGGTCTAAAGCACCTACTTAGAACAAGCTTAGAAAAGCACAGGGACCATGGTTCAATCTCGCAGCACCACATGCTAGCCATCGCCACCCTCTGGTGGGCTGAGCTGGACACACACACACACACACACACACACACACACACACACACACACACACAAATAAAATTTTTAAAAAAAGAATGAAAAAAAAAAAGAACTTCCTGGCTTCTGAGCCAGGACAGATGTGCTCTATGGTGAGCAGACACCATGGTCCAGCTTTCCAGTCATCCTGTGCAGCTCAAAGAAAGAACTAGCCACCAAAGTAACCTGGGCAGAGCATTGGGTCCAGTGCCCACTGAAAGGCTCAACTCTGTATTCTGGGATATTGCAGCTCACTTTGAGTAAGTGTTTGAGCTTCTTTCAGTAGATGCTTGCTGTAGGGCTCACACAATGAGAAAATCAAATTCTGTTTCTCAACATTTTGCTCTGTGAGTTGAGATCTAGCACCAGGGAGACATCAAGGGCCTGAGCAGATAGAATGCAAACACATTTGCATGATCCACTCCTCCCCGAGGGGCTGGGTAAGAAAAGGAAGCCTGGGGAAACTCAAGCCAGTGTGGGATCAGGGGGCTGCTTCCACTATGGACTGGACACCACTCCTCCTCCTGTTCCTCTCTCACTGCTCAGGTAAGAACAGGCCTTGCAGACAGGGTACAATTTCTTAACATCATTAGGTGTCTTCTGCTGTGATATTTGTAAAACTTTAACCCAGTCCTTACACCCTAACCCACTCTGGTCTGTATGTGCAGTTTCCTTCTCTCAGGCTGTGGTGACTCAGGAACCTTCCTTGTCTGAATCTCCTGGAGCATCTGCCAGACTTTCCTGCACCTTGAGAAGTGGTATCAGTGTTGGTGGTACATGGATAAACTGGTACCAGCAGAAGCCAGGGAGCCGTCCCAGGTATCTACTAAGCTACTACTCAGATTCAAATAAGGTACAGGGCTCTGGCATCCCCAGCCGCTTCTCTGGTTCCAAGGACAACTCAGCCAACGCAGGAGTTTTGCATATTTCTGGGCTGCAGCCTGAAGATGAAGCTGACTATTACTGTAACATCTGGCACAACAGTGGTTTTCACAGTGACCCTCATGCATGGAGAAGTAGCACAACAACCTCAGGCTTCCCTGTGAGTTAGACCATGGTGCCTTTTGTAATGTGAAAATCTCTTATATCCACAACAATTAAACTCAAAATTCTCAGCAAGATGGCAGTATTCACTCCAAATAATAAACAGTGTTGCTAAAATCTCATGAAAAGCAGGTGATCTGTGATTGCTTCTGCATTTTGCACAATCCAAGTAACTCTTGTTTGACTGAATCTAAAAGTGAAGCTACATGCTTTCAACAGGGAGTGTTTCCCGTTTTGCCTGAAAAAGTACAATGGAAAATTAGAGGAGACAACAAAGGAACCAAGAGCAGGTGCCATTTCAGATGGTTAGCATACCCGTTTTCAATTCAATAGCATATGAAGGCCTGGGAAGCCAGGTTTAAAAGCAACCTGTCAAGAACTAGGAAAATCACACACTGAATGAGTGAAGACCAGCACTACACACCACCACTAAAGTGACACAGGTGGTGAAATCTGTGGCACAGACTTCAAACAACTATAAATTCATAATGTGCAATCAGGAATCTTGAAACAAAAGGGTAGGAAAAGTTATCATCGTTATCAAATGTAACTTTAAGGGAAAAAATTAAATTTAAAATCAAACAATGGAGTCTCAAGAACTGGAAATATATATATATATATATATTTGTTTTGCAAAATTTGGAACAGATAATTTGTGAAAATATTTCAACTTTCTCCTATTTGAAAGTTTGCTCACCTTTCTTCCAATTTGGTCCTTACAGCATATGCTATTTGGTTACATTTATAATACTAATTTCTCTTTGCTCATTGGGAAGAAAGTTTTGTGCTTTTCTTTCTCCTTTGTACGAGTGTGTTCAGTACTCTGGGTACCATTTTGGCAAGTCATTTCAGATATACTATTAGTTTTAGCATGTTGTCTGGTAGTCATGACAGTGTATTAGCTACTGTTATTATGGAATGATTTTGTTAGGAAACAAGCACACTTCAATGAAAAATATATAGATTACAGAAGACATATAATAGAACATACATATAATTAAGAAAAGCATACTAGGGGGCACTGGAAGCCTTCCCAAGGGTTCCCAGACACTGAAACACACACACAGGGCTCACAGTTCATGAAGTGCTTTGTGCTCAAAGACATGAATAATAAAGCAGGTTCTTAAAACAGGTGCTTCTTCTCAAGGGACATGCAGAGCCCGCAACACTTAGCCTGCCTGACAGCACAGCAGGACCTGAACTCTGAATCCTGCAACTGATGGTGCTCATGGTGTTAGTAAAAGACTGATAAAAGTAAAAGACACCAAATCAAAAATACCCATAAGATCTCAAGGGGACAGGAAAGGACCATCCTAGAGTCAGCAGGGGCTGCCCATGCCTGGGAATCTTGGGAAACTCTACCATAAAGCCTACAGATGTTTGGTGCTGCTTCTATCTCCTGTCTTTCTTTCTCTGCCCAGATTCAAGTAGATTTGACACAGCTGCCTTTGAAACAATGCTCTCTCCTAGTTTTCCATCCCTAATGTGTGTTGATTTTTCTCTTGGGGTCCATTTCTCAGGCTATGGTGTCCCTGGATCCCTCAAAATCTCCTATCCTTCAGAGGCTCAGTCATTATCCTTGGCAGCTGCTGCTTTGTAGTAATCACTGAGGGCAATTTTTACACTAATATTAACAGGGTAGCAGGTTCTACTGGCCAAACATCCAGGACAGTGATTTTGGCACAGGCCATAGGTGCTCCTCGTCACCTGTCAAATCCTCAAGTTCGCACCTTTGAGCAACATGGCTTGATCCTTTGTGGTGCAGGCATAGAATGAAGGTGCATTCTATTATACACTATATGACAGTACTTCTCAAAACAAGAAGAACCAAGTAGAACATGAAGATTTGAACATAGGTTTGGCCAAGCAGGGATAAAAGAAGATAAAAGTAGGGACTAGGAAGTGAGCACCCTGGCAGACTCACATTGTCTATCCATGGTGATGATAGAGTAAGAAAGTATTGAGTTGACTCTTCTTCCAGTTTCAGTTTTAATTCAAAGAATGTACAAGGCTTGTTTTATCTGAAATGTTGCATAAAACAACAGAATTCAGTCATCTCATTTTCCTAAAAGTACAGTTTTTGTATAGTAATACATTAACACTGAAGCCAGTGTATTTCCTCCACAGAGAAATATTTTCAGTAATATTGTTTTGGGCCT